TTTGCCGAATCATGTAAGCAAAGCTTATCACATAGTTTGATCTAGATGTTACCCCAATATTTTAAATTAAAACATTTATTGGTCATGAAAATATCCTTAAAATACAACAAAATATTGCGGTAAATACACATTAGTAACCTCGTCTTTTAGGTCTGTGCAGTAGGTCACAGACTGGAGGGGAAAAATAAGTATCTTTAACTTACAGTACGCACTGAATAAACACGTTGTTAGCAGGCTAGAGAAGAGTTGCTTGTCAAGAGGAACAGCTGCAGACAACTTTTGAGTGCTAAAAGCAAAACAAGTCATTTTGAAATTGTTTCTTAAGTCGTTGGAAAATTCTTAAATTTAAACCCAATTTTCCAATCAAAGTTAAGACAAGTTGTCGACAAAGAAAGGGAGATTTGAACAACAGAATCAATAGCAGTGTGCAGACATTGAAATAAACAATCTAGGCGGGTCTAGTAACTGGGTGAAGTTGTAGAATGATGCAGATGGACACCAAAACTTTCAAGAGATTTAAAGATAAGTCAGGATGTTTTAAGTAACAGTAGCTGCGTTATACGATGTAACCGTTCTCTGGTTTTTTTAAATACGATAAACGGGGTAGTCTTTGACTGGAAAAATGGAGACAATAACCTGAAAAACACTTTGTTTCCAGCATGATAAGCAATGTACATGTTGACGAACTGTATCAACCTATATACCGATGAAACTGTTTCTTTCATTTAAAAGGGAGGATCACGGATTGTCACGATGGCTCAGGCACAAGGGACTCTTGGTCATGGAACTCATCAAACTTTTATCACGATGACATAATGGATATAACGTACACAGATCCCACATACATACCTATGTATTCACTGGACGGAATTTCTCAGTCTCTACTACAGGTTAATAAACTCATGTGCACAAATCAAAGCCATAACTTAGATCTGTTATGTGATTGGTCATTTAACAACATCATTTGAGCAATAATAGTGCTATTTTGCTGCATTGCTTTTATTTGGACAGTGTTATTGTTCTATGCCTTATTCAGGTGTGATTGGACAGAACGCTTCAGTTCTTCATTTTCACTCGTATGATCACAGACTAAATTGGATTCCGCGCGGTTCATCTGCCATTATTGAAAAAGGGGAAAGTCGACTGCTACAAAAGTATAAAAATTAAACCTACTTTTTTGACCATCGCTGTTGTGAAGAAGGCACATAAAAAAGCGAAAAAAAAAAAACAAAACAGAAATCAAAAACAAAACTTTCACATCTGGCCACGATTTAAAAAGAATATAATGAGTCTCTTTAGCCAAGTGCCCTTTTTCTTGCCTTAATTTGAACTAAGCCTCCAGGCGCTTGTATTAACACCTAAGGTGACTGTGATAAACTTGTTAATTTTAGACAGGATTTGTTTTCACTGCTCGTTTGTGTTAAAAAAAAACAATTTATCTTCAACGTAGATTGCAACAAGCATGTGTAAATCCTTGAACATTTCTGACAACGATTTACAAAGCTGCATATTCGATGTCGCCATAACCAATGACACGACATTTACTGATCAGGAAACTTTTAAACGAGGTAAGCTTTCCTAACGAGTGTTTGTAAGGATGATTTCATTAGTTTAAGAACCAAGTTCTTATTTCTGTTAAAAGTAAAGGACATTTGGTGTTTCAATATATATCAAAATGTTACCCCTTATCATCCAAAAATGCAAATATTAGATAAAAATTGCCTCTAGGATATTATCATTGATAAAAAGTTGCATTAAACATAACAATCTGAAAGTTTTAGAGTGTGTAATAGGAAATTTTCAAAGTAACAGTATTACAAGGCCGGGGCCCTAACTTACTGGCTTCATCATGTTCACGAGATCTCATTCTTTGTGGTTAATATTTCAACTGTTTTTATTAATCCATGCGCAAAATTCAATCTCTCTGTTTAAGACTGTCCAGACCAATGCTCAGGTAAAGGGAGATGTATCAATGGAACATGTAAATGTATCGAAGGTTGGACAGGGAAGAGTTGTGACAAAGGTATTGGTTATTATCATCTTGAATCTTATCATCAGGTGTTAGATAGATAGGGCGGACGGATAGATCTCTCTGGTATAATTCTTCAGTAAATTTAATTCCTCTGTATTCTGTGTTGGACAAACAATTATACCTAGCATAAGGGCTCACTTAATTTCGTTTTGTGTGTGTTTTCTACTTCGTTTGTGTGTTGTTAAGTTTTTTTTTTATCTATTTTGAGGCTTCCCAGCAAGTTCAATTTTCATTCTGAATTGTAACATAGCACAATTGGGTTTTTCAGTGTTGCCATCTGGCATCTTCACACAAAAATCGTACCTCGTCGATCCTAACATTGTCATCGTGATTTTTTTCCCTCAGGTTCTTGTTTGAACTGTTCAACCATTCATGGCAAGTGTGTTAGAGGATTTTGTGTTTGTGACCTGGGCTGGGAAGGACGAAGCTGTGAAATTGAAGGTCATACCGTTCATCTCCTGACTGAAATAGTATATATTCATTGAGTCCCAATCCCCAGGAAACTTTTTTAAGGTGCTAAATGGACGTTTCCAAAGACTGTATAAATGAATTAAGGTAGCATTCTATTAGGTTGTTTGAGCAGGTTGGATTTTCTCTTTTCTTCAGGAAAACTTGATTTAATTTTCAACTAGCATCGAGTTTGAAATGATCGAAAAGGAATGAAGGGCGACAGCAGTCGTTTCGCTTGCTTCTAGAGGTCGAGCGCTGGTTTCATTTGCCGAATTCAGTGCCCTTTGTGATGATTTTCCAACGAAAAGCCGTAATATCGCACCAAAATACTAACGTTTTTAAATTATTGTGATCTACAGCCACTTGCTTCGGAGTTAACAACTGTACCAGCCCTAAACACGGCAGTTGTAAAACGACAGATTTTTGCCAGTGTAATCCCGGCTACATAGGTCAGTTACAATGATCGTTTTGTTTCTGTTTGTTGTTGATGTTATTATAAACGCACGCTAGATTACTTAAAAAAAAAAAAAGAGAGATCAATGGTAACCAGTGCTATTGTAAGTTTTCGGTCAGCGGAGATGAACGAAAGAGAAGGCGTGAAAAAACGGTAGGGGGTCAGGGGAGGAGCGTTTCATTTTAGTTGTAGTAATGGTGATAACCAAAAAGACTGAAGATGGATCAGCGGCAGCTTTCACCATGGTTGGCTCGTGGTTGTTGGAGAGCGAAGGCGAACAATTAGTCACAATGGACGAGCGGAGTGGATAATCAAGGCGAAATTTATTAAGAGATTATAGTATAGCAAGTTAAAAAGTAGACCGGTGATGGCCTTTTTTTTATAATCAGCTATACCAAGAAAATATGAGATTAATCAATTTATTGTGTCCACGCACTTTTGCTTTTAATTTTTCTTAGCAGAAATCTTAATCTAAAGTTCGTACTTTACATAGCTGCCTTGTGCTCATAAAAATACTATCCGCCCGTTATATCGCCCGAAACACTTCTTGTTCTTAAAACAGGTACAATTCTTGTATTTTCAGGTGTTAACTGCAGTATTGTTCCTACTTGTTACGATGTATCAAACTGTTCTGGCAATGGAATCTGTATGGATTTCGATGTATGCAAATGTAATACGGGATGGACTGGAAGAAATTGTGCTCAATACTCTTGCGAACGATTGAATTATTGCTCTGGTGAGTTATATTGGGAAATCATATTCATAGTCTACGAAGAGATGTCATTCCCGACTTTCCTTCCATCCCTCATTGCTTCTTTTTGTTTGTCCTTTATAACGTTCTCCTGGTCCTATGCTAGTATTAATGTTTTCTTGTCCTTTCTCTCCCCCTTGCTGTTGATAAGAACACGGTAGCTGCGTGGCATTTGACAAATGCACCTGTGATTATGGCTGGACCGGAGTAAGCTGCGCCCTTCCTGACTGTGAAGCTGTCAATCAATGTTCAAATAAAGGAGAGTGCATTTCCAGCGACAAGTGTCGCTGCCTTCCGGGGTTTATTGGAGCGGATTGTGGTCAGATGGCGGACTGCAGTCATCTTGCAAACTGCAGTGGCCAAGGTGTTTGCGTTTCTACCGAGATGCTGAATGTGTCGTGCAGTTGCTACCTTGGTTTTACTGGCGATAACTGCAGTCAGCCCACTTGCACCACCGTGAATAATTGTTCTGCCCATGGTACGTGCGTGGAAGCCGAGTTCTGCAAATGTGACTTTGGATACATTGGAACTGACTGCAGTAACTTTTCTTGTGAGGCTGTCAACTATTGCTCCGGTAAGTGCATTGTTTTAAAATTTCTGCTATGGACACATCATACTAGCGAGGAGAACATTATTTTTCTTAGCAAAAAATGACATATCATTTGCCTTCCACGGTCCGAGAAAAATGATTACAGAGAGTTTCAATGTCTTTGGGTGGTTGAAATTGTTGGGCACTTTCATCTAGAGGTGCTTTCCTCGCAACGACCTGAGCTCGCAATCCTGTCTTTATGATAATAAACTTGACGTTCTCTCCAACAACTTTCATTTCCTGGTTATTTTGTAGCTGTAACTTCTAAAACAAATCAATACCGTAAGACAAGGCTGACAAACGATGTTCATTTTTTTGCTGCAGGAAATGGAAAATGTGTTGGCTACGACCTTTGCCTCTGTAATTCCTCCTGGTCAGGACGCGCATGCAGTGTTCCTGATTGCAGTGCTGTAAAAAATTGTTCTGGCCAAGGAGATTGTATCCTACCCAACGTTTGTTCTTGTTATCCAGCCTTCGATGGCGAATACTGCGACCAGAAAGCAAAACCAAACATCAATCCTCCAAGATTTAACCAAACATTTTATAACGCGGCCATTATGGAAAATTCTCCTGTAGGAACAGTGATTTTACAAGTAAAAGCCAACGATACAGATTCAGGAAGAAACGGTCAGATATTTTATGCCATACTTGGTGATGATAAAGTAGAAAGTATTCTTACCGTTGGTGGACAATCTGGAAAGGTATACAACGCAAAGACGCTGGATTTTGAGACAATCGAGATGAAATCATTCAATGTGACCATGGTTGCTGCAGATAATGGATATCCACAGAAATCTGGAATCGCTACTGTACAGATAACAATAGTGGATGAAAATGACAATTGTCCAACCTTTATCGAACCACCAGGAGATCTAAATCTAGAATTCCTTGCACTCGTTCCCGGAGAAACCGTAACCAAAGTTTCTGCAATTGACTTGGATAGTGGAGTAAACAGCGACATA